CTTTCTTGCTACTTACTTCCTGCCCTCCTACAGGGGGATGTTTGTTTTCTAGCTAGCCAGTGATACTTTATCTTGTGCAATGCATGGCCCTTGTGGCAAATACTACTGGATCCTGAAAAAGTAGTAGCCATTCAGCACTGTAGATATTATCTGGACTATTTTGTAATTCACATCTTAAGATGACTGCTTGCAGCCCGGTGTGATTTGCTGAGAAATCTATCACAACACTAGCCCACGTTATTTATTTGAAACAGCATATATTACATTTTGCCTCTACAAAGGTGTCCAAATTTCTAAGCTACTTATTTCATCAGGGATAATAAATGGAAGCAAATTATATCAAGCAATGTTTGAAAGAGTGTAATTTCTCATAAGCTGGGTTTTCTGCACATAAATGTTACAAGTCCACATTTGAAATCTAGAATGTGTGGTTCGTTAAAATTATTCTGCAAGCACACCCAAAATGAATTCATTCCTTTTCCATTAATAGTTACATTTACATTGGTATGTTAAAATGGCTTTAGAAAGAGACGATTTGGAGTTGGTTCTCCTATAAAAATATAATAATAATGTCAACAACTATTACTTTCAGCAAGTAGGATCCAAGTTATTTACTAACACCAACCTTATTCTCCCCCCCCCCCCCGCCCCTGCATGTTGTTTTTCCTTTCGGATAAAATCCAGTCCAAGGTGAGTGAAAAAGATCAACAGAAATGCTAATTTCAAGAAAGGATTAAGTATTTATCATGTGAGTAGTGACCAGTTCAAAGAAAAACATTCTAACTATAGTTTTCTGAATGTTTACAAAACCTCTGACATCGGTAAGAATACTTTAACCTCTTGAATATACATGTAAACATGCCCTAAGAAACCTGCAAGAAAAGCAGGAAAAAGCATAGTATGCATATATGATAGAAACACACACACACATAAATGCTGGGAATTGTACAACTTTTCTCTGTCAAAATATACATGGAGTTGTCACCTTAGAAAATTTATTTCCCATGCCACTTTTTGTTTTCTATGCAAGTAACTGAACTTTCCTTGTAAGTAGCCACAGGACCAAGTAGGCCAAGCTCTTCTTTTGCTGCTTTTTAATTGCTGATATTTGACATAAGTATGGACAAATATTCTTCTTTCTCTAAGTGAGAAAGATCTCATCATCATATTGTACCAAGTATCCGCATGGATCTTCATAACATAAGAAGGTCTACCTGCTGCAACACTCTGTTTCTGCAACGACCAAGATGGCCTTGGAAGACCACAAAGCAGCTCTATGATTCTCCTGCTCATGATCCCAGCAACTGGCATATAGAGTCCTACCATGTCTAACATTGGATTATGATGTATCATGAAAACGAATCATGAATCATGACTAACAGCCATTGACAGTCAAATCATCCATTGATTCTTGCCCATTAATTCTTAAAGATTTTAATTGATTTTATTTATTTTATTTTAACTTAAGATCTGTTTAACAATAACTGCAGGGCTCATTCAACTTAGTTACCATTAGTGTTCTCAGCTTCAGAATGACAGAATAATATTCTCTTTTTCCCTTTCTTCAGGTATTAAATCTATAGCCTCTGGCCTAACCTATTACAGAGACATGCATGTAATCTCACAAGACAAATATAGTGAAAAAGAAAAAAGAAACCAAAGCAATCAACTTAAACTGGAGATTCCAGAACTTATCAGGACCTGCAAAGCCTTTACTTGGTACTTTTCCAGTAATAACCACACCTAAATTAAAGGAAATCCTGGGGATATCCTCATCGGAGGCATTATGCAGCAGGCAACATTGGGTTGTGACTCAGACTTCACCTATCAGTCTAGGTTTTCTCTGTACACGTCCTTACATGCAGCACCATCTTTCCACAGCATGAAGTCAGGCACTTGATATGCTTTGTACATTGTGAGCCAGATCCTCAGCTAGTATGAATTGGCACAGCTTTATGGCTGCCAGTGTAGAATTTCTCAGTATATATCAAAATGGTGAGGCAAGAGCAATAACAAATAAAACAAACAACCCAACCCATGTATATGACTCAGAATGCAGACTCTCCAGCATTAGTATTTTTGAATTTTTTCACAAGGACCTGTTATTTGAGAAGTGTTCATTTAGTTGATCAGTGTAGGAAACAGGATGCTGAACTAGACAGGTCTTTGCTATGATCCAGCAGGGCTATTCTTATCTTCTTATTTATTAAATAACACTCACTCAAAACGAATGGAGAATTACCTTTTTAATACCTTCTAAACTGAAGTTACTTTAGTGAGGTTGCAATCTGCCAAACCACGCGGAAACTACTAGATCTTTGAAATTACAACTCAATTTTCAAGTGACTCCCAAACTTCATAGTAACTGGGCTACGCGCACACACTTCCACAAGTAATTCATGAGTCGAAACAAATGCCCCATGGAAAGTGGAGAGCTCTTTCAACAAGAGGCAACTGAAGCACAATGGTAGATGTGGCCCATTATTAGGTCTACAAAAGAGCTTTCATTACAGAAGAGTAACTGTATGAGTCTACTGGAGCAAAAACACACCACAAAACACAATATTTTAATGACACCTTAAGGGCAACAGGTTGGAACCTTACATAGTCATTCTTAGAGTAGACCATTTAAGTCAATAGAATTTAGTTATGATTAATGTAAGTCCTACTGCTCTTAATGATCTTAATGATCTAAAGATGATAGTTAGGATCTAACACAACAGAAGGAGGCTCAGACTCAGGGTAGGAAATAGGCCTTGTGTAGTATGTTTATTTGTGCTTTAGTTGTATTCAGTGCTGGTGATCCACTAATAGGATAGATGTCCACTCCTTGCAATCCACTTCCCTATACACTATGCTGTAAGGCAACTTTAGGTCACAGGAAGGGCCAAATTTGGGGCTGAAATAAGTAGAAAGAAAAGGGATGGTCCCACTGCACATGCAGGATTCTATTTGCAGAACAAGTGGATCCAAACCTTGAACTTACTTTAGGTTCTAACTGTCTTTTAGGATTCAGCACAAAATGGCTGCAAAATTAAGGTGGATTGAAACCATTCCCAAAAATATCTGGTTCCATGTAGACCTTAAAAAGCAAGGCTTTGCAGGTGCATGGAAAATCCCCTGTATATTATCTAATTAATACAAGCATCTTTTCATATACAGTCACTTTTAGACAATTAAGAATGACTCTAGAAAGCAACTGCTTTACAGGTACCATCTCCAGAATATTTAAAAATATTTAAATATAAGAATTAATCTAGTACATCAAGTTTCTCTAGAAAATATGCAAAACCTGTGCTGTACTCAAAATGCTGAGGCTGATTCTTTCATTAGTATAGCTATGGGACATGTTGCATATTTACTAAACCACTGCCTACTTTTATGCTAAATGTGCTGACAGGTAAACAGCGAACAACCTCTGGCACTTTTGAGAGAAGCATCTTATGAAGAGACACTTCACATGTTTTAGCATGCCAGTTCTCTCTAAAAATGCTGATTCAATCACTGATATTTTGGCTTAATAATTGATTCACCTAAGTAGTAGTTTGTTCAGGAGTAAATGAATACATAGAGAACTTCTCTGTCACACTCCACAAACCACAAGAAGGTTTAAGTACAAAAATCTTGCAGAGGCAGACATCACTGTACCGGACAGATTTTTTTTAAGTTTTCCCAACATTAAATAAGTAAACATAAAAATATTGTGGGGCCTTACGAATCTACTAATAGGATTTAATGTGTTTAAGAGGTAGCATTACACCACTTTAACAGAAAAGCTTACATTATGGTAGGGCTGTATCAGGAAGAAATATGCTTTTAAGAGATAAATCCTCTTGGCAAAAGCTGTAATCTTGTGAACTTAATTGGTGAACTCATTAATGAACCACTGCCACTACAAGAAGAAAAACTATTGTCAGTGACTTATCAGGTTATGAGATAACAAACTTAATTATATTGTTTTCAGTGGATTTACATTTACTTCCTTTAGGGCTTTAGTCATTCCATGGCTGTATACAGATTTTTTCCCCTACACCTGAAAAGAAAACAGATGTGCTTCGAATTGCATTATATAAGAGATTATAAGCAGAATAAACACAAAAGCTAAAAAGTTTCCTCTGTGTTATCTACTTATAAAAGTTGAATGCCTGTAAGTTAGATAATTTATGAACCATATTAATCATTTGCCCATGTTTGATCTGAGATTTAGCAAACATGATTTCCTAGGACATAGGAGAATAATTTGCAGGTCCAGTTTATCTCCTGAGGGGGCCTTAACTAATTTGACACTGTTTCATGACACTGATGGCAGGCACACACTAATGACCATACTGCAAAGTGCTCCTGTCATCCTGTCGTCTCAAAGAACAAGTTTTCTCTTATTGCCAAGATAAGTAAACAGTGATTCTACTAATTATTCAGACAGGCACTATAATGAGAACCTCACTGCAGACTTTCAGTACACTAACTGGTGACTAACAGAACTAATCCTACAGTTCACATTACACTGACATCAGAGATGCACTGCTGTTTCACCAACTGAACAGCCATTATATCCTGCCTGTCTCAACCAAGGAGAAGGGTGAAGCACAACAAAATACAACAACAGACAGGAAAATGGAAGATGCATCCCCAACACTGCCTAGCCCAGACCAGGATATGTACCATCAGCAACACCCATGGGTTCCCCACAAAAAGAGGCAGCTCGCAAACTTACACATACACCCCACACACACACACACACACACACACCACCTATATCACAACACATGCAAAAATACAGAATACCAACTCCATCAGTCTACTGGGCACAGGCAACAGCCACCCTTTACCAGCTGTTCCCATACATCCCCAGAACTGTGGTGTTCTTATTTTCCTTACACAACTAATGTTGTATGAGTGCAACACACACAGAGGATAGAAAGGGCAATAAAACACAGCAGCCACATAGCTTCCTGGGCATAGGATCAGTAGAAAGCATGCACAGCTTTCCAGGAACTTACCATGGGAAGAAAAGATTCTTTTGAGAAGCAGCTAATCCAAGGGGCTCTGAGACACAAGGACAGCCACAGCAACAATCTCTGGTGCCTCGCTATAGCAGGAGATGGAGTTGAAGTCCCACCAGAAAGAAAAGGCAAGCAGGGCTCCACTCACCTTTTCTATGCCTGGAAGGTGAGTAAGAATGACATGTCAGGGGCAAAAAAGAAAGCTCTGTTGATTCAAATCCTCAATGCAAACCTTGCAAAGAAGTTCCTTCAGCAGATACAGAAGTCAGTGCCTTTACTGATCATCAAACTAAGTAGAGCACTCAGAATCTTTGTTAACTAACACCATCCCCTGGAAATAGGCAGGGGGAACTGGACTCTGGTAGACAAAGGCATTCATCATTCTAGTGTGCAATCTGTATTCAAATTCAAGAAGCAGTAGAAATTTGGAACTAAGGTACCTGCTACATTAAAGCACATCAACGTTCCTCCCTGCTTTTATCTCCACAAGTGCTCAGAATCTTCCACTAATCAAATTTCTCATATGTACCTATACAAAATGTCATTTTACCCTTCATTACTTGAGGCTAAATTACTCTAGTTTCATCCCATGTATTTATTTTTGATTATTTTTAGGCTTCCTTTAGGGGTAAATCACTCTCAAGGTGACATACATGATAAAGAAAAATACAACTAGCAACAAATTTGCAATACATACTACATGCCACTATTTTAAAAAATGCTAACACCTGCAGCTTACAGCTTATGTGAAAGCCAGAGAAAACAGATGTGGTTTCAGTCTTTCTGAAGGTCTGCACAGAAGGGCCTTATGAACTCCTGATGGAAATGGATTTCAGAGATGCAAAGTCACCACTGGACGAAACCCCCCTGTCTCTTACCAGGGGTAGGTTCACACATAATGAGAAGTCACCATGGCCTAGCTTGATGTTACATGTAAACCCAAAAAGGGTGAAGAAATGTGGCAAGATGGTCTTCGTGGAACCATGGAGAAAAACAATGGTTTGTTGTACAGTTTCCATGCCTCACCATGGCTTGTTTGCATGTCTGAATCCAGTGTGCATGTGGTTTCCACATTTCCACCAGCAAATTTCACAGGAAGACTGGTAATGGCTGTAGCTGCCTGCATTCTCTACTATCATAGATTGCCTAGCAACTGCTGAGGCAACTACAGGTGCATTGTGATTGGCCGCTCTACCCTGCCTTTCCTCTCTGCCTTCCCAATGCCCATCTGCAGCTTTAGAATTTCAGTGACCGCAGGGCATTACGTTGCACTGCCCCCAGCAGCAGCAACCTCCCTTGTAGACTGCCTTGCTTGAAGTTCCTGTTCGGTCACTGTAGTGAACTCAAGCAAAGGGTAGAGCAACTGAAAATCTGCTCTACCCTTAGAGGCAGCGTTTTCTTCCTGTGAAAGTTCCCCTACACAAGAGGGGCACACAGGTTGCTCATAGGCATCAGCAAGAGAACACTTGCTATGAAAAGTCTGTATCTCCCACTCTAGCATCTGCCCTCCACTCCTCTCTTGTCCCTGGCATTCCTTGGAACTGTGAGCAAGCCCTGCTGTCCGCTACCCGGCCCCAGCCACAACTGTGGGACAAACATTCTTAACAGCCAGCCAAGAAATTTCTCAGGCAGAGGAAAGGCACGCAGAGCTTTTTCGGGAAACTCTTCCCTGCAGGAAATGCCTCTTCCATCCTCGGCATTGGTGCCCACACTGATACTCTTCGTTTGTCTGGCTGCAGGGGAGAGGTGGCCCTTTCCAGTGTTTGCGAGTCCTGTGCACAAGGGGGTGTGGACACATGTGCAGCAAGGAAGGAGAAGGGAGGGGATGTGAGTGTGTGCGGTTATGCTTGCATCAACATGGAGCATGGCAGCACAGGGGAGAGCTACTCTAGATCAATGCAGCTACTGCAGTGAACAAAAAGTTGCTTCTTCTGAGCAGCCCCCCTCCCCCCCCAAAAAAGGCCACACTCAGGGAAATGTGTGGGCCAGTGAGGCGAGGCAGGCAACACAGGCAGGAGCAATGGGACTGAATTTCAGCCAAAGGGGCTTATGGGATACCAGCCTCCATTAGGAGGAAGATAGAGAAGTGTGGAAACAGCATGACTGCAACCCAAGGTAAGTCGCCACATGGCACGGGTTTAGGGTTATGTGTGAGCTCATTGCCCTAATGCCTTATGTGCAACCTGATCTTAATGACATGAAACAGCTGCTTGGAAGATGTCAGTTTTCATCTCTTCATAAGAAAGGGCTTTGACAGTTCAATTCAAATTCAATTCAAGTGTTGAGCTGAAAGCAACAGAATTAAAATCAATAGGGGCAAATGCCAAATTCTACACCTATGAAAAAGGAATCAAATGCACCATTGCAAGATGGGGAATGCTTGGCTACAAGCGAGAAGGATCTTGGAATTCTTATCGATCACAAGCTGAATATTAGCCAATCATGTGAAATGACTCCAAAAAACCCTATTACTTTTTTGGGCTGCATTAACTGTATAGCTTCCAAATCATGTTCTCCTCGGTTCAGCACTAGTTCGGCCCCATCTTGAGAGCGCATCCATTTCTGGATATCCCACTTCAAGAAGGATGTAGACAAACTGGAGGGGATTAAGAGAAGAGTGACAAGGATGATCAGGGCCTAGAAACAAACCCTGTGAGGAGAAATTGAAAGAACCGGGCATGTTTAGCCTGGAGAAGTTAAGACTGAGGGGAGGTATGATAGCAGTTTTCAAATGATTGAAAGACTGCCACACAGTGGAGGGCCAGGATTTCTTTGAGGTCCTGCCAGAGCAGAAGTCACAGAATAATGGACATAAGTTATAAGAAACCAGGTTCTGGCTGGACATCAGGAGAAATATCCGGACTGTTGGAGCAATATGGCAATGGAACTAATTACCTAGGGACTTCATGGACTCTCCCACACTGGAGGTGTTCAAGAAGAGGTAGTTGGATAGCCATTTGTCAAGAATGCTTTAATTTGAAGTCCTGCCCTGAGCAGGTGGTTTGACTCAATGGTTCTATCTGGCCCTTCCAACTTTACTATTCTGTGATTCAATGACTCCATGTACTAGTTATGATCTCTGATACCTCTGGTTCTAGGCAGCCTGCTTCGGCTCTACATAACCTGAAAGGCCATTCCATATTCTGTTCTATATATGATCAATCATATTTATACTACTAATCATACACAGAGTTTGAAAAATAAAAGCATTCAGAAAAAATATATGGAGTGAAGAAGTTGAGTAATGACGCAATTGTTGTCCTGACTTAATCATAACATGAAGAAAAATGGCACAAATTGCAAAACAAATTGGTCCATCCCATTCTGTATTTCCCACAGCTCTGAACTCTGTATTACGTAAATAACCTGCTCCAACAGTTAGCATTAATTAGTTTCTTTGGAAGAATCAAACTGCAAGCCAAAGCTAGATTACCTTGGACACTCAACCTTAATCTCACCCAGACATGACTGAGATCAAATAGTATATCCGAATATTTACAGAACCACTAACCATGCTGTACCTGTTTGGTAGAATATCTGTCTTTGGGGTTATGAATCTGGCATGTTTAATTCCTGACTTGCACAGATGAATATCAGCATTCGGGTGCGGTTTAAATTAGACTGAATTTTAAGTTTGAAATTCCCATGTTGTTATAGTTAATAGCTTCTCTTCAATGAAGAGAACATGATGCAAATCCTAATTTTGGTGCCAAAAGGTATGGTGGCTTGATGACAGATGAGATTAAAAGTAACATTAATGTACCAAAGAGTTGAAGAAACAAAGCAGGATTCAGTTCAAAGGCCAAATTTAGAAATTGAATGAGGGTTCTCTACTACTATCTCTCATTCCTATTAAGGTCTCCCATTTCAGAGAGTCTGATTAGTGTGGGTTACATTCTTTTCCCACTGTTATTAAATGCCAATAGAAAACAGCCATCCAGGACATGAACCTGGATGAGCATGCTGACCTGGCATGTACTGCGGCTTGCTGGATGAGAATAAAGAAGTATACTCTTGCACCACTGCTCCCCTGGGCTCTCTTGGCATCAGTAGATTGGACATGTGGGGAAAGAGTGAAGGATCACGGGGTCAGCATGATTCTATCCCTCTGGAAGAGCTCTCCTACAGTCTTCCAGTTGTGAGAATGTATATCTGAATGTGGGAGTTTCGATAGGCCTAGGATTCTGTTGGTGTACTGCCCACTCTGCTGACCAAATACCCATCTTCCTCAGCAAGTTGGGGTAATCTCTGAGGCAGTGCTGGAATCTCCTTGGCTGGTTGTACTAGGGGATATCAACATATATACAAAGTCTGCCCTGCTGGACATGGCTCAAAATTTCATGAACCCATGTCAACTATAGGTCTGTCCTAATGGACTCTGACCTCACTCATTCAGAAGGGCACACCTTGGTTCCCTCCCACCCCTGGAATTTAAGGGAGGGTGATGATCTTGATGTGGAGGAACTTTTTATACTGCTCTCACGTAAGAAAGATCACTACTTTGCAAGAGGTAGATTTACTACTACTTGCTCTGAAGGCATCAGGAATGAATTAAGATGATCTGCCATAGGAGACAATTGTTTTTATGAAGGTTTAGGATTCTGCTGTCATCTTGGCTGGCAATCCTGTCAAAGTTCTTGTTGAAATTTGTAACAGACAACTGACCCAAGCGATTGACATGATCAGTCCTGAGAATCACATCTTGCTGAGTAGTCAAAGAGGTTCCCTGCTTCTCAAGGGAACTGGGGGTGAAAAAATGAATGAGACAACAACTGAAGCAGGGATTGGCAACACATGCACCCTCTGTTCTTCTGTGTGGCATCCGCTGACCCCAACACTGCCAAATTTATGATGTTAGCAGAAAAAAATATGCAGCTTGCTGCCAAAATTCTATCTATGCTGAGACATGGATTGGCAGAGATTGACTAGTAGAACATTTAGTGGCTTTCAATATTATCAGCCATGATATCCTTCTGACATGTCTGTCTAGAACAGGACTTGGATACACCTTTTTTACAGTCACACTTCTTCTTCTAGAGCAATTCTGGAACATGGTCCTGTGGGCTTCCTGTCTGATACCATGGCCATTGAGCTATGGTGTCATTCAAGGTTCCATCTTCCTCCCATTAAAGTTGAAATCAGTTTGTTGAAGACACACA